TAAATAGACAATAATACAAAAATAAACAAAATACAAAATAAATAAATGATTATTAAAAATAAAAAATTATTTTAAAGCCGAGTATAGACGATTATATTTATTTAAAATTTCGTTTCTCTAAAATTTGTTTTACATGTGTTCGCTGTTTACATGCGAACGGACATATAGATATAGCTGGATATTGACTCAGCTCGTCACTCTCACATCAAGAATATATTCATTGGGCCTGTTACGTGCAGCTTATTATGGCCTAACTGCCCCCTTGAAAGGGCTTCGCTGGGTATAGAAAGAAATGTTGCCAGCCAAGCTGCTAAATTGTGTGCCCCGAAATGTGTCCGGCAACACATAATGCCAAGTTTCCAGAGTATGTGCTGTTGTATAGGGACTCTGCCTGCACTCAGTTTATGTGTGCCCACACACACACACACACACACGCACATATGGAAAATCTGTTCATGTCCTTTTTATATGCAGCGAGTGGCCCAGCTGCTGCTGCTGCTGCTTGCCCAATGGCCGCAAGGAATTTCACACAATTGTTAGAAAAATTGCAGAAAATTGAAAATGTGCGAGAGCGTATAAATTTTTACTGCGTCACTTGTAATGCTAAATTGTTGTTATTTATGGCCAGTTGCGTGTGACTCATGCCAACATTTGCTTACACACGCCAGCTCCGACCAGTCCTCGCCCCCTCTCGCTTTCTCGCTCAGTGTATGTGTTGCTGTCTCCTTCTGTTTTAGTTGGGTGCCTTTGTGGCTGAACGAATGATTGAATTTGGTTGAGCTTTCTTGACTTTATTGACGCATATAAGCACTTTATTGCCGCCGGCGCGCTGGCCCCAATAACGTGTTTATATTAGCCAAGTTAGCCAATTAGCTGAGTGCCCGGAGAGCAATAGTTAAATTTTCAAAAATCCCCTCCTCAGCATACACATGCCAGTGCAAGCGAATCTGTGCAGAATGCCACGCCCACTGGGCGTCGTCAGGGACATCAGCATGAGGTACATGCCAAGCGAGAGCACATATTTGTTGCTCTCCATCCACCTGAGCACCTCGGTCAGGTTGATCTTGAACTTGGGCTGCCGCACCAGCCTGTTGCACTGCCTCCTCTCGTCGCTCTCTTCGCCCTCGTCGCTCTCGTCGCTCTCGTCGCTCTCATCGCTCTCGCAGCTCTGGCCGAATAACAGCAGATAGGAGATCTGTATGCAGCTGTCATCGGTAATTCTCACGTGTCCCGTTCCATTGCGTTGCGCGCTTACCATCTCCGGCTGCACCACATACTCCACGATAGCGACGCACCGGAGCAGCGCGCCGCAGCGGGAGCCGCCCCAGCCGGGCGCCGCGGGGCTGTGCTGCAGCGCCTCGTCCACGTCGCGGCTCAGCTCCAGGGCGGTGTGAGTGGGCAGGCAGCCCACGGTCAGCATAGCGTACAAATGCTCCGCCCTGCCGCCGTAGAACCCGATGCGCACGGGATACCTCTCGCGCAGTGCGGTGTAGGCCTTGGTGTGCGAACACCTCAGACTCGGCGTAACCTCAATGATCTGCGTGGGCGCCACTTGTGGCGCCCCAATCTGCAGGTGCGCGTACAGATCTGTGAACTCACTTGGCCGCAGGGTGCTCAGGGCGACGCGCTCGCCATGCCGCACCAGAACCGTGTGCAGCAGACTCAGCACGTTCACGTGGTAGCAGCCGTAGTTGCCCCTGTCCAGCTGCTCCAGTATGACCTCCAGGCGATCGATGTCGGCAATGACCTGGAAGATGGCGCCGATGTTCGGCCGCTGCTCGCTGTCGAGGAACTCTCTGGGAAAGGGACGCAGCAGCGTCTCGTAACGGTAGCTGTTGGCCGCTGCCACGAAGAGCGAGAAGCGCACATCGCAGGCCAGCAGATCCGACTGCAGACACTCCTGCAGTTGATAGAGCTTCTGCATGCTGATACCCGGCTCGGCACAGGGCTCTGCGAGGACGTGGCCAGCCTCGCTGGCCGTGTCCATGGAGCTGGCAATGTTCGAGTTGTCCAGAAAGTGAATTAACTTCATAATGTCCTTGGAGCTTATCGAATGTGCAATGGAGTCTGCGTGGATTCGGTGTGGTTTGTAAATGGTATTAGGTATGATGCACTTGCTTTTGATTAAAGCGTAAATTTATTTCACTCCGAGAATTTCCAAAATCTGCTTTACTGACATTTGGAAATGAAAAGGTATGCCACGCCCCCTACCTACTGGGCCAGTGCCAGCTGAGATTGACGGGTTTCGAGCTGTTGCCGTTTGCTTTCGTTCTTTTGCGCTTCACCTCGGCCAACTGCAGATTGAATTTAGACACTTCTGTGACAGGTTGTGATTGTCGTGCCCAGCATCGAGGGAACTCCTGCTTCTGCTCCTGCTCCTGCTCGTGCTGCTCCTGCTGCTGCTGTTGGGGTGTGTCTGTAATTGATTAATGGAGCTGATGCACGACGCGTAGCTTATGTCAGCTTGCATGTTTACAGCGACGCCTTTACGGCTTTGGCCCGGCCAATCAATTGGACCGCATTGAGTTATGGTCGAGCAGGAAAGCCACCACCCGCATGAGCAGGGGGTGACTGCTGGCTGGTCAGTAATACAAAGAGAGAGAGAGAGAGAGATAGAGGGAGCGGGAGAGCAGCAGCAGGCTGTAGCTGCTCCTTGATCAGCAACAATTTCATTTGACAAATACTCACACACACACACATGGATAACCGAAAGTGTGTATGTGTGTGCTCTGCATTTCAGCGGCCGTCGCTTTATCTACTTTAAAAAGTGCTGGCAGCAGGATGCGTAATTTATTGATATACTCTCCTTAAATTATGAGTCTCCTGGGGGTCCGCGCACTGGCGCACATTTTTTTGATTTTGACTTTTGTTTTTTTTTTGTTTTTTTTTTTTTCATTCTTTTTCGGTGCTGGCTGCAGGCAGGTGTCGGTGTAGAAATCAGTTAACCGAGAAAGTTTTGTAACTTTTTGCGCTGCTGCCGCGCGGCTGCCGCTCTGCCAGCAGCCCTGTGAAATCAGAAGTTTGAGTTTATTCAAATAAACGCCGACATTAAGAGAGTTGCAACTGTTGCGCTGCCACTGGCCCAGGCTGGAGCCATAGACCTCGACTCGACTCAACTCGACTCGAGTCGACTCGAGCGAGGCGGCATAAATCAGAGAGCCAGCTCCAGTTTGCAACTTTTCTTCGTTTTTTTTTTTCGTAGATAAACTTTTTGACGCACCAAAAGCCACCACCTTTGCGCCATTTAACCCTCTTTTTGCTGCCCGAAAGCTTTATTAATATGCGCCGTTTTCTTGTGCACTCTCCCAATCTCACATTGGCAATTCCCAGGGGCCGGGCCCACTAAATAATTGCCTGGCATATGCTCGAAATTTTTGTACACTGTGGCACAAACCTTTAAGCGCCGCATCACATAAAACAGAGCAACATTTTCTCATTTAGCAAGTGACTTTGCCTTTCTGTTGACTCTGCCAACTTTTTGGAATGTTCTTTATTAATTCTATTTAGTCTAGCACATTAAAGAAGGTTCCCATATCAATCAGAGTGTCATATCATAAATGCATATATTTATGAGCAATTCTTTTTTAAGATAACAGAAATCGTCTTCTCCAACGAAATCTGTTTAATATTTTACAAATATGCCTAAGCAAAAGCTCATTTATTTGGACTTTGGTGTTATGGGCACTTCATGCTGCAGACACGTCTTCAATCTGTACTCGCCTCTGATGGGCGTGTCTGTTGGACAGATGCGTATGTGCCGAATGAACTCGTATATCTGGGGCAGATATATGTCATCTTTGTCCTTGTAGAACAATTCACGCACTGGCTCCGAATACTGCAAGGAATATTGGAATTTATTCAATATAAATATGTATAAAAATATAAATAATATTAATATGAATATTTGCAAAATCTTAAAATAAAAAAAAAATAAAATTAATAATAAAGCAATGCATCAAGATTAAATGGGAGTATAAATAAAGAAAACAACTCTTCAGATTATTATAATAATTTAAAACTCTTTATATCTTGTATCTTGTATCCTGTATCTTGTATCTTGTATCTTGTATCTTGTATCTTGTATCTTGTATCTTGTATCTTGTATCTTGTATCTTGTATCTTGTATCTTGTATCTTGTATCTTGTATCTTGTATCTTGTATCTTGTATCTTGTATCTTGTATCTTGTATCTTGTATCTTGTATCTTGTATCTTGTATCTTGTATCTTGTATCTTGTATCTTGTATCTTGTATCTTGTATCTTGTATCTTATATCTTCTATCTCTTATCTCCTATCTCCTATTGCCTATCTCATATCTCATATTTCCTATCTCTTATCTCCTATCTCCTATTACCTATCTCATATCTCATATCTTCCTCTCCATTTATTGACTTTTGTCTACTTTCGAAATGCTTTGACTGACTAAAATCATCTATCTTCAAATTATATTCATTCACACACTGTTATTATAGCCCATATTAAATTCCATTGCACATTAGCCTAAGAGCTTAACAACAATAAAATTAGTCAGCCTCGAGTTGATATGTTGTTAATTGCTTTTGATATTAGACAGGCTACGAGGGGCGGTTGCTCTTCGTCAATCAGTGGAACGAATCGAGGATATTTATTGCGGCTTGAGAGTGCTTTTGCACCTAAGCCAGCCACACTCAGGTCTGGTTTTTCTTTTCAATTATAGGCATTCTATTTACGCCAAATCAATTGGCATATTTTCACACATAAACATAAATTGGCTTCGATATGCCCGGCGCAGGAGCATTTGGGAAAACAAACGCGTTCTGCTTTTTGCCATCCAGCCATTTCATAAATATGTACCGCACGTAGGCCAGCTCAATTGCCAATTAGAAGTGGGAGAGGGACGAGGGACGAGGGACGAGGGGAGACGAATGCCTGGGCGCATGGAAAGTCTGCTTTAAAATTAGGACATGGCGAAGCAGTTCGACGGCAAACCGACGGAAGTTGATTTGTATACGGAGTACATACATATGCCTCAGCCACGACCGGAAAGAAATTGTGCCACTCGCAGCACTCCGAGAGCGTAATAAAGCATTGGCACTGCCTATGCCTGTGGCTGAGGCTGAGGCTGAAGCTGAGGCTGAAGCTGAGGATGAGGATGTGGCACTCGCATTCGCATTCGCACTCGCATTCCGAGAAAATGCTACTCTAATATTTAGCTCACGTCTGCTACAAAAATTATTAGGCATCCGCGGTCTGCCTATTTCCAAGTGCTTTTCCAACTCCCGCACACGCACACACACACGCACACACATCAATAATTGTTTGAAAAAAAAAGAAAAAAATTTGAAATAGGCCTTGATCGAACCTTTTGAGAACTTAGGTACGTGCTTCAGGTGAGTTGAAGGTGATACGTAGCGAACTTACATAGAGATTTTTCAAGATAATCTTCAGCTCCGTGGAGAAGAAATTGTTGTTGAACCTGGCGAAATGTTCATCCGTCTTGACTTTCCGGGCATAGAGCTCACTGAACTGTTTCGCCGACAACAGGCCCAGTATGCTGTCAACTAGGCCATGCACGCCCTTCTGCTCCTCATTGACAATGGCCACATCCAGTTCTGCAAGCGAATTCAGACTCAGATTCAGATTCAAATTCAATAACAGGCAAAATATTTAATTAAATGCACTTGGCCAGTGCAGGCAGAGCTCAGCCCGCTCCCCTTGCCTACGCGTCCTCCGCTCTTCCGTTTGACTTTGTCTGCATAGTTTGCAGCTATTTGCGAATAATTCATGCCAGGTGCTCTGCGGGCTCCAAGAGGCGAGCATGTGTGAACATTGATAAGCTAGAGGCAGACAGAGGACAGCAGACAGTGGACAGCAGACAACGGACAGTTCTGTTGTACCATGACATTGGGGATAATGCCATCATGGCCACAAAGGAGAAGGTGAGAGAGAGAGGTAGGGAGAGAGATGTGAGACAACGGACAGTGGATGACTTGAAAGTTATTTGGAAGCGTGTTTGTGCCATGACACGGCTCTGGCCATGTTTACCTATGCCAGAGAGAGAGAGAGAGAGAGAGAGCGAAAGAGAGCGAGAGAGAGAGAGAGAGCGAAAGAGAGCGAGAGAGAGAGATAGAGGGCGAGCTGGAACATTGCCCCATCGCTCATACGCACCGCTGCCCGGCGTGTTGTCCGCCGATGCGGACTTGAGGGCCTGCACCACAGTCTGGGCCAGATCCATCACGTCCAGGCCGAGGCCATGCAGATAGTTCGTCAAGGCCAGCACATCGACCAGTTGCAGCAGCTCAAAGATCTCGGTTTTGATGAAGTCATATGCGCGCTGCACCTCCTCGTCGTGCCGATAGTAGTTGTTGACGATGGCCACCACCTGTCGGGCGGGTATCAGCGCCACGAATTCGCTAATGTTTAGGGGCGGGGCTGGATTGAATGGCTCCTCCTGTTCCTTCTCCTCGAGCTCGCGCAGCAGATCGTCGTATTTCGTTGGCTCCTTGGTCGGGCCACGATCCGAGCTGAGCACAATCAAGTCGTCCGAGACATTTTCCTCCTTGCTGCTCGAGTGGCTGTCCTCCTCGCTGGAGCTAGACTTGCTCTCGGCGTCTGATGACTGATTGGCTGCCTCTGTCACTGCGCTCTGCTGCTGCGGCGCAGCGCTGACGCCAGCCAAGAGCACGATCACTGCCAGCAGGACGCAGCGATAACCAAACGATGTTTCGCGTTCCCGTCTCATTTTGCTACTGACCGAGCGACCGATGCGCCGAGCTCCTAGTCGGCTATGCGACCCCAACTGTGATGCTTCACTCACTGATTGTGGGCGATTATTTAATTGAGCCATTCAGTCGCCTTTATTAGCATGCTGAGTGTGTGTGTGTGTGTGTGCGTGTGTGTGCGTCACGAGATGTCCGACCAATTGACAGCTAAAGAGCATCAGCTGTGGCCATGCATTATATTTCACAATTCCCTGGAAGAAATTGATTTATACAGCGCATAAATTATGCTTATCTTACTTATCTTGTTTTCCACATTCAATTCGAATGGGACAATAAACGCCAAGGCCCCCGCGGCTCTGATTGAAATCGCGAACATTTCCCGTCCAGTTCGAGCATGGATCTCTATTTGACTGTATTATTAAATACACTTCCGCGTATGCAAATCAAAAGCAATTTACAAGAAAAACAAACCGAATGGAGTATGAGTGAGCGAGTGTGTG